GCCAAGAATCTGTTTAGATGTTCGAACGCTGTCGCTATTGCCATCTTATCCCAAAAATATCCCGTCTGATTGTGAGCATCAGTCAATCGAGACTCTAGAACATCGCTTCTGCCCGAATCACTTTCCTTCCTCGGCCTAAGACTCCCAGTGGCTTTATTCGAAGGATTACCCTTTTCTCTAGTGGATCCGTTCGTTTTTCCTTTATTTGAGGGTTTATTGAAAGTCACTCTCGGCTCCCTGCTCGCCTCCTTGGGGTGTCCTCTTGTATTTCCTTTAATGTTTCCCATGAGATCATCTTATCTGTCCATTATATGCTGAATGCGTCTCTCCATCATTGCAATTATCCTAGCATCGAGAGTCCAAAGAGTCTGCTCCTGTTGACTCCGAAATTGCTCCATAACATCTCTCAACCGTTATTCGTTTTGCTCGGCCTCTCGTGTCAATCGTGACAAATTTCAGGTAAAAAGGTCATCTCTTCTCTCTTTCAAGCGCTTCTCGCTTTCGCTGACTTCCTTTGTTGCGATGTATCTCCTCTCGCAAGCCTTCTCTCTTTCGCTGTGAAACACTCTCTCTTGTTTACTCACACTATTGGAAATATGTTCCTGTTGCTCACTCACATTACCTACAACTTTGGTCAGGAATTCTTCCTTTGATAACCTGTCATCGATCAAGGGGGTCACCAATGATGGCGTCACCATATTTGTGACCGGCAGTTAGGTCCAAGTTGAAACTCGCGCCGCTTCTCTCTGTCTTAAAACTCGCGCCACTTCTCTCTGTCTTTCGTATTCCGCCTCCGATTATTTCAATGATTTCCTTGTCCCCCGAGGTTGTGACTTCTGTTGCTTCAGCATGTATGCCAGAATTGGCTGTGTTCAAAAAGTCTCTTGAACCTTGCCTCCCAGTCCAAGCCGTGCTTATCGTTCTGACTGTAGCAAACTGATCGGAGGAACCACTCTCCATATCGAAAGACATCTCGTTTTCATGGGTTGAGCTGTAGAAGCTTGATTGGGATCCAAATCAATCAACTATCTCTTTATCGTCACCCTTTTCCTGAATTTCATCTTGTCACTTGGTAAATGCGAAGAAGTTCCCCAGAGTAATTTTTGTCGTTCTGAGAACAAATAAGACGTGTCCACCTTCCCTGATTTTCCTTGCTTTATGGTATGACTAGTAGATGAGCCCTCCACCACTGGTGTTTCAATCAAAACATCACACAGTTCAGACATTTCTTCTCGATCAAGAGTCCCGGTCGAAGTAGCAAAGTCCTGTCCCTGATCTACTGGAGTAGATTCTTTTGCCAGTCGCCTCGTCCCGTTCCTCGTCCCGTTCCTCTGGATTTTCGACGTGAGCGAGACAACGATGTATCTCTATCTCCAATGTCGTCCGTTTGTCTTCCGAGACTTTTTGTCTCCTCATTTCGACCATTTCGTCTAAAACGTTCTTCCCCTTCTTGCTCCACAGGATCGTTCCTTGTATTGTTTTCTTTCTTTGGTGTGAACTTCCTGGAGCTATCATCCAATTTAGGTATCCTAGTCTTGTCTAGACTCAGCCTAACTTTTTACTAGTTGTTGCTCACTTATTTGATTCGCTTGCTGTCGTGTTTGTTGTCTAACAGCCAACCATAATAACATAATACAGTAATGTTCTGAATTTTTAAAAAAACCGTGACAACAAACCTGATTATGTTATCACAGTACAGCGTATATCTAATTTATGCAGAGCAAGGAAATGTTATCCGATAAAATACTTGCACAATGGATGATGGTAAGATATCAAAAAGATAGTGAACTCACTGCCCAATTGAGAACAACGAATAAAAAAATTTTTAATTGAAAAAAATGGAAGGAGAGAAAGCAAGGCATGTGCGTTGCAATCAGTCTGTCGCAATTTAAAAGTTGAACTGTTTTCTAGAGGAAGAGTTTTCCCTGTTTAGTGCCGCACCAAACAGACAAAGCTTGAGGGCAGTTACATTACTCTCAAGTGAGCGACTATTGCACCGACTGAATTTTGTATTACCTCTCTGCCTTCGGATTGCCCGAATTAGACCTACTCAAACTCTCAAGGCAATCACTTTTTCATAACATAAAAGACTTTCAGATTCCAATTCGAAGTTTTTTAATAACAACTTTCTGTTATCGATTTGACAAAGAGTCGCGAATCTCTCCCCTTTAAGATTTGTCTCAGACTTATTGTTGTCTTTTTGCTTTCAAATGGAGGCAAGTCACCAGTGCAGTCACAGGCTCCACGTTTGTTTCAATACGTCCTAACATTCTAATATGTTTGGGGCTAATTCCCACTAGTTGTTTTGCTTTCGTATCCGTGCGTATTAGGACACATGTGGTTACGTTCGTAAAAAATCGGACCCCTCTGGAGCGGCGTTCAGGGGACCTTCCGGATTGCCAAAAGCAAGGCCGGTACCCTTCCAGATGCGGTCTATGAATTTTGTAATACAAAATTGACTAACTTTGAAGGAATCGTTTTGACTTCCGACCCCTCGGACTGAAGCTAAGCTGCTTATTTCACATTTTTCTTTAAGCCTATTTTCGACTTGCTTGCTGATTTCAAGGTTCCCTAGCCCTTCATTATCTTCTAGAACAACGTAAAAATTCCTTATTCAACCGTTGCTACCGTTTGGTAGGGGTAAAAGGGCATTCCAAAAAATCTTCTATCGACCGGGAAGGTGTCTACCTTCAAAACCGATTGGATCACCATAAGCCTATTTAATTTTTGATCTAGTGGTACCAAAATAAACTGAATCGGTCCAGTGATTCTCAAGTTAAGAAGCAAAACGTTCAAACTCAAAATTTTCAAAAACCTGTAGGTTCCGCCTAACTTTTACTGCAATTCTCGTATTGTTGACCTGAAGATTAGCTCAGTGCAAAAAAAAACAATCAAAAACGTTTCGGTCGAAAAGATTTGCCAAAACAATGCAAACTTGAAGATTGTCTAATTGTGCGGCGTTTCATTTTTTCAAAAATCACGAAAAGTTTGATCACGGTACCCAACTACTTCTTACAAAGTCCGCACTAAAATCAAATGGTTCCTCTGATTATGGTAGTCATATTACGATGTAACTCACAAATTTAGCGTTTTTTCCCGTTCCGATAAATATGGATATCTCAAAAATCGTGTATTGTGGGGGATCAAATTTTTAATATTTTGACCCTTAAAACCGGTCTGTTTAAGGTCTATTTGATTGAAAACCGGAATAGGATTATTAATACGGGTAGAATAAGTAGTCGTTCTCAGAGTAGTAGTACTAAGCCTAAGAGTACAGAGTTCAATGAGACTAAGCGTTGACATAATCATGCAATGTCTAGATGCTAGAGTTACATCAATTTGGAATTTTGAGAAAATGATCAAGTCATTCTCTCAAAAAAAGACTTGCAAGTAATTGTCGAAAGTGTTTTTGTTTCAAAAATGTTGTAATCGTAATATTTTGTTACCGTCAAGAATCTTGACACCTATAACCCAAACCGGATATTGAAAAGTAAAACATCAAAAGTGAGAGACATTAAATCATTGAAGAAGAGGACACAAAAATGAAAAAATTTGTTAGCGTGAGTGGTTGGAAAAAGCTTAAGTCTGACGAGAAATTAATTATTCTGCAAGATACCAGATAACCGAGCCGATGTTTAAAAAAACAAAAGCTGGATCTTATTAGCGAACAACCCACAAATTACTCGAAAAATTTTATCGAAAAAAATGGCACTGGTCAGAAAACGTTTTTGAGGCTGAAGAATTAGGTCTAAAGTTGAGCAGAGGAAAACAATGATATGGTGGAGCGAACTACAATTTTTTTTGTTATGCTTGTAAAAAGGTTTGAAGACTTACGAAATCAAATCTTCTCAGATGCCTTCGAGACTAAAAAAAGAAATTTCTGACTGTTTTTATGAGATCAATGGACGAGTATTCAGTTTAAAAAATTATAAAATTTGAGCAAAAAAAAGAAACAGTGATATATATCGCAAATAGCAAGGTATTAAATACACTTAGAAGAATGCCTCAGTTTTATAAAGAATGATTTCTCAGACGAATTAAACTCTGCTTACGCGCTTAAAGGACAAAATTTATCGCGCGTTAATTGCCCAAATCCTCATTACTTCAAACCCCCATAACTTTACAAAAATTAATTACAGGAAAAAAACTTTTTCTAAATTTGATCACAGGACAACAATAATTTTCCATTGGTTATAGAAAACTCGTCAAAAAATTCTTGTTACAAAGTTTGTCTGCAGAAAAAAACACTCCGAGCTCAAAATAACCGTCTTTTTTTCGAACGTCAGAACAAAAAATAAGGGTTGGACTAATTTAATTTTGAAGCAAAATTTGCACAAAAGCCTATCCAGTCAACAATAGAAAGCGCGACAAACAGACAGTGTTTTTGGTTGGAAACTAATCTACGATTTAGCCACTTCATACTTATTTTTGAAGTGTCTATAGAAAAACGATTACTTTTGAATAAGCATTTGAAAATGCACTCACTTTTTTTATTGAACGTTTCTCGTTATTTTTTTGAAAAATGACTTTAACCACAATATTTTTCTGATATTCAAACTTAAATTGATATGTGTATGGATATTAATTTTATTTGGGTGCGAATTTGGATTAAAAAAACAATCCCCTCCAAATCGATTGGGGGGGGGAGGAGGGGGTAGTGTGTGATAAATTACCGGTTTTACAGAAATTTACTTCGAGAGCCAACTAGTTTTGATCTAACTAGTCATACAGTTAACCGGTACTAAATTATAATATTTATTTTGAACTATTACCTGGTTAAAATAGCAAGCTTTCAAAATTAAATCATGCTTGAGGAGGACATTCTACGGTAGGTCACTTTGAGCGGGGGATTGTGCGATTTATCCGCGGATTGCACATAAAAAGATGCATCCAAGAGAAATTGTCTGTTTTTGCTGTGCTTGCTTTTTTAGCTGTGTTGCGTTAATGTTTTTCGGCCAATCAGGAGTAGATCTTCTTCGGTGTCTTTTCTGGGTACGAGGTGCGTTGTATTCCTTATGCATTTGTCAGGAAAAGCGTTAAGCTGCATTTTTCCAATTGCTTTGTCTAGATAAGAAATTTTGAATTGCTCAATTAAAGCAACCTCTCCTTTAAAAATCTGTACAGTTTTTAGGTAAAGATTGCCAACAGGATTATTGGATTAATCAATCCTTATTTATTTTCCTGCCTGCCAATCTAATACGCTAACGCTTCTTACATTATAAATACCTCTAATTGATTTTACGTTGGTGTCAAACTGCAGGTCCCCCTCTTCCGATCTTCACTCTTTCTACTTCTGCCCTTTTACGTGTAAGTTTTGTCGCCTTTTTCACCCATTTTGAACAATTCTTCCTATGCCCGCCGCACCGCCCTAAATTGTACCGGGAACTTTCAAATCAATTAAAATTTTTCTACGGACTTTTATTTAAAGATTAACAACTTTGACCGCTTTTTAACCGAGTTTTTTGAATTATCACGTGTTGAAAGCCAGTTGTCGTGAGAAATGGGGATCCGGTTGGAGTCAGACAGGTAATATGATATAATTTGCCAAGTTGGATAATTTAATTCGGCCTTTCCTTGCATTTGAATTATTGCACGACTTTCCGCTCCTGCCAAAGTTTCTGTCAATAATTCGATCTCCTTGCTATAATATTAACTTGACATACTTGTGAAGATTAAAGTGACCTCAGAAGGCAACAAATAGACAAGAGCCTTTCTCACGAGACCCTATCTCTGACTATGGCTGGTTAAGGCGCGAGCAGTGCTTGTAACTTTAATATTGAGATTATTACCTGATCGAGTGGATATATAAAAATGGATTCTCTGCTCCATGTAAAGACAGATATAGCTACATATTGTTTGCAAAGTGTTTTTGAGAAGCTATTTAAAAGCAGGGATCGTTGTCAACTCCAATCTGTTCGGAAGGATTTGTGCACAAGGTGGTGCAAGTCAAGCGGAAGCTCTGCGACGTGGTCTGCAGTCAATCGCACATTTAAAGGCTCAAGCGCAGCTTAAAGTGTCGGAAAAAAGCGAGGGGACTGCTGCCGAACAACTAAAAGTTCAAGCAAACCCGCCTTGATTTAAGTGCAAACCAAGTCAACATATTGCGTCAATCTCTAGTCCACAGCCAGACGATCTTCTTTCCCAAGTAAATCACCTCTGGAGCCACCAAACAGACATTCAAGTAGCAAAATATTGACGCAATAGATCAAATATGATCAAAAACCATTCTGGACACCTTGTTTTGTTTCAGATTTCCTTTTAAAGGTGAAACTGTATTCTTATAATAACTCAAATTGGAAGCAGTTTGCGGTATTACAAAAGAATTGAAGGTGAGTCGGACAGCTCACTTCATACCAGCTGTTGAATCTAATACAAAACTTTGTCACCGTTCCGCCTTTTCAGCCCTGCTCGAGCTGCGGATTCCAATATTTGCCCTTTGAAGTCCACTGTGAACTGCAGCTCGATTATGTTTTATTACATGTGGTGTGCTGTTGTCTGTGTCATTTGGGTTGAAGGGAAGGTCAAGATCACGGACAAATGGAACCGAGAGGTCACAGAGGTCAAATTGTCTCAGTACTACAACCAGATGTTCCCGCTTTACTGCAAAAGTGAGTAAATTGGCTGCTTAAAGTCCATACTTTTTGAACTTTTCACTATGTTTTCGACTGAAACTGGCAAAAGAGTTTGGATTTGAGTGCATCTTGGGTGGAAATTTTGGTCCGTTCAACTTCTGAAATTTTCGACGTAGACTATCCCAATTTCTCCATCCCAAAGGAGAACAATGAATTCGGGAAGTTCCTCTCAAGTTCGCTCCTTAAAGATTTAGCTAGCAGACCTGGGTGTTTGAACACGGCTTTAAACATGCATAGCAGCCGGATCCTCTTGTTTTTAGGTAACTTTTTTTTCATTTCTACTAATTGAGTTGGAGTTTAATTTAAATTCCATCCGCTGTTTTCTGTCCGCTAACTGGGCGCTATTTATTTTTCAAGGAAGAAAGAAAGAGTTTCTAAGTCCGATTTTGAATATTGCAGCTATTTTAACCAAAGAAATCAGGGGAGAACAATGAACTAACCAGAGGAAACAATGAATTGTCAGTTTAATCTCTGAATAGTGCCCTAGACCTTCTGAACCTCAGTTTTTGATGAAATAAATTAGATGAACTAAAATAATGACACAGAGCATTAATCTTGAAAATGAGAACTTATAATGCAATAATATTTAAAACAGCATTAGTAAAAACAAGACTGGTCGGATACCAGGGCGAAGCCCTCCTTGAACAATCAGACTGAATAATCGATTTTTAAAAAAAGTCTTCAAATTTTTCCCCTCTTTTGCATGAGATAAGAACGCAATAAATCGCTCGTTAATTATACGAATTTCAAACTTCAAACTCCCATAACTTTACACAATGATTCAGAGGTAATGTTTTCTTTCATTTGGGCTCCAGATATCATTATTTGATGGTATGAAAACTTTCCATCGAAAACGCTTGATTAGGAAGTCAAAAACTGACTCAATAAAAAACGAACCTAAGCAAAAATATACTGTTTTTCTTCAAAATTTGGATCAAAAACAGTTTTCCTGGGCTGTCAAGGAATTGCATGTGGGTTTTTCATGATAAGTTAAAAGAAGCTAAGTCTAAGAAACAATGTCCATTCAATTTGAAAAAGGAACATTATTTCTCATATCGAGGCAACACCCCTAAGTGTTCTAATGTTTTTTACTTTTACTTTGGTATGAAACTTTTTCCTTTGATGAAAACTGCTTTGAAGTTTGAAATTATCTTCTTTTCATTTGTTTTTGGTGCCCTCTACTAAGTGTCATTGTTGAAATCTCGTAGAAAATCATTGAGTTCAGTGAGGCCATATAGCTTGATTTATTGCTTAGCGTCAAAAACGTTCCGCGCTTGAATAGCTTGCGATTATTTGTTGAGTCTCATAGACAGACTCGTGAAACTTTTACAAATTGCCCAACCATTTCGGCAAACTGACATTTTTCAAACTTTCAGACCATTATTAAATATGATCTTTTGCATTATCTTGAAACAAGGGCGGATCTAGGATTTTCTTGAGGTGAGGGGGGGGGGGGGGGGTGTTGGAGTTTCAAAAAATATTCTGTCGACTTTTGTTAGGTCGACCAAATTGGTTTTCTGAGCTCTCCTAAATTATTATAAAGACCTTATTTTGACCGAATTTTCTACGCCGCAGGCCAAAACAGGCCGAAAAGGCGTTTTTAGGCTTTTTTTTTCAAAAAAAATGTTGACCAAAAAATCGCGTTTTTTCGGCGCGCGTTTCCCCTCAAAAATTAGTATATATTGGCGCCGAGGGCGCCATTAGAAAATTTTTAGGGTCAGCCAGCCAAAAATGGATATCTCAAAATAGTAAAAAGAGTAACCCTTTGGATCGTAGGGGTTGAAATCCGTGAAAGGGGTGATCCGCCCCCTCTTTTCTCCCCCATCCGCTGGTGTCTTGCATTACGAGGCCAAACTGTGCACTGGATAGGCGCACAATTTTGTGTCTGTACGTTCCTGGATTCCAGAGACAAGTCTCTAAACATGTTAAAATTTTGTCGGAACAACCAAAGGAAATTAAAGGACAGTTCAGTGAAATCAATCCATTGACTTTTTTGGCGTAAAAGTTTTGTTGATAACTCTTATTTCCATCACTACAATTGTTTTCAAAAGAAAAATCGACTGTGAGCACAAACAAACTGCGAGCTTCCTGAAACATCAGGACTACAGTTTAGTATTTCTGCAAATGAAATGAAGTAGACATAAGTAAATCGATTGTAAGAAAACACTTGTTTGCATCAGCCTAGCCTCTGTATGGTTTCCTTCAAGCCTGTTTTGATTATTTTTGCAGTTTTGCTGATTTTGCAATAAAGTGTTCGCTTGATACGTTTCAACTATAAATTATTCAAATACCATTTGACCTAAATTTGGTAATAAGCGAAGTCATTGTGTTTGAAAACAAAATTTTAGTATCTGAAATGAATCAACAAAATGTCTGCGTTTTGTAGTCTACAGAGAAAAGAAATTTTTACAAGTCCATAGTGAAGCAAAAATGCTAGTCAAGTCGGTTTTTCGAAGATATTGAGTGTACAAAGCGTGCAATACCATATAAAAATTGTGAGAATTGTAAGACCCCAAGTTTTTGTCAACTAGGTATTATAAAAAAGAATGAAAGAGAGAGCGAACAAAAGAAAGCAGGAAAGAAAGAACGAATTTGGTTATCCATAAGTCAGCCTAGCCTCTGTATGGTTTCCTTCAAGCCTGTTTTGATTATTTTTGCAGTTTTGCTGATTTTGCAATAAAGTGTTCGCTTGATACGTTTCAACTATAAATTATTCAAATACCATTTGACCTAAATTTGGTAATAAGCGAAGTCATTGTGTTTGAAAACAAAATTTTAGTATCTGAAATGAATCAACAAAATGTCTGCGTTTTGTAGTCTACAGAGAAAAGAAATTTTTACAAGTCCATAGTGAAGCAAAAATGCTAGTCAAGTCGGTTTTTCGAAGATATTGAGTGTACAAAGCGTGCAATACCATATGAAAATTGTGAGAATTGTAAGACCCCAAGTTTTTGTCAACTAGGTATTATAAAAAAGAATGAAAGAGAGAGCGAACAAAAGAAAGCAGGAAAGAAAGAACGAATTTGGTTATCCATAAGTCATGCCGCACTGACAAAAATGGTTTCGGATCGATTTAAATAAATTTTATGTCGATTTGAAATCAATCCAAACCGATTGGCAATGTCCATTTTACGATTTACATCGATCTTTCTTGAAAGTTTTGGATCGATTTGGAAGTCCAAAAAATTTGCACTGACAAAAAATGTTTCGGATCGATTTAAATCGATTTATTGATTTTAAATTGATCCAAATTGATTAACAATGTACATTTTAGGATTTCAATTGAAAGTTTTGGATCGATTTAAAGGTCTTAAAAATCGATTAAAATCGACTTGGTTGGATTTTGTGCCTCACTAAAATTTATCAGAGTTTCCTTTCATCCATTTGATTCTAACTAAAATCCATTAAAACATAATTTAGGGAATACTGAGCAAATCAATTTAAATGTCCTAAAAACCATTTCAAATCGATTTAATTTGAGTTTTCTGCTGACACGGCGAAAAAAAACATGAAATTGAGTCTTACTAAAATCCATTAAAATATTAATAAGTGACTACTGAGCATATCAATTTGAATGTCTTAAAAACCATTTCAAATCGATTTAAATTTAGTTTTCTGCTAACACGGCGAAAAAAACATGAAGTTAAACGAAATGATTGAAACCTTTCATTCTCGATTTTTCAAATAGAAACTCACGTACTGGTTGTTATGGAATGCAAGAAAATGGTCCGCAAAAATCAGATTTTGAGCACGAAATTATGCAAAGAACTCATAGAAACACGTCATTGTAAAACATATTATGAACAAAAACTTAAATAACAAAACAAGAAAAAGGCGGCGCTTTCCCTTTTACCCCACCTCACATATGCATCAATAATATGGAGTAACGAGGAGTTTTATGTTGTAACTAGGCAATTTAAAAGTTATGTGAGAAGACCAAACCTGTAAATCAGATATTGGTCTAAAATTTATGTAACAAATCAAGAAAACCGTCGATTTAATTCAAAAATTATAGAAAATCATCAAATTAAATCCGATTTTGGGCAAAAATTTATGTAACAAATTAAGAAAAAGTTCTCATCTAAATCATCAAAATTTATCATTCTAAATCGGATATTGGGCCAAAAACTATGTAACAAATCAAGAAAACGGTCAAAATAAATCCAATTTTGAGTTCAAAAACATGCATCAAGGTTAAAAAAATCATCAATTAAATCAGACTTCGGACCAAAATCTAAGTAACAAAACATCAAAAAGGTCAAAACAAAACAATTTTTGAACATGAAAACTTGCATGGAAATCGTCTTGCATTATGAATCATATAGTGGGCAAACACTTATGTAACAAATAAAAAAAGGTTATCATAGATCAAATTGTGAGGTAAAAAGATGCAAATTAAACATAAAATGATATCGGTTTTTTTGAACGATTTAGTTTTTTTTATTATGCTACCATACGTTATGGATGTAAAATGGAAAATGGCGGGCACTGAATAAATGTAACACAAACTCGAAGCTGATGAAACACGAATGACAAAAACCACGATTTAAATCGTTTTATATCCGTTTTAATTTCCTAAAAGCATAAACAATTTAAGACTGAAAAAGTCGATTTAATTCGATTTAAACTCAATTTGAATAGAATTTTTTTAGCTTGGATTAAAGATCAATTTAAGGTACTCTTTATAGTAAAATTGATGTCATTTAATTCTTTAAAACAATTTTTTTTTAAATCGATCCTAATCCGTTTTTGTTGGTCGAGATTACAAGCAACATCTGCAAAAACACATAAATGTGCGCGCTGTTAGTCAAACTGAGCTAACATCTTCACCGAAAGCACAAAATTTGGAATAGGATAAAATGAGTCCCTGCTAATTGTCAACTCCTCGTAAATTTAAACGAAATTGGAGATAATTTTTTTGGAAGAAATCTTAGACATTTGAATGACTTAAAGCTTTCTCAGTTTTATATCGAAAG